TTGCCGGCTGGCACAAAGCCTCACCATTATTCTCCTCCTCCTCCCCACCCAAGCGGCAGCGGGCTACTCAGGACAGGATATAATTCCTGCCCCAGCGCAGCGAACTCCAGCAGGCCAGATGCCGGTGTGAAGGACCTGGCTCAGTTGAATGCTTCATTCAGCCTTCAAACAGTAAGGCTCGCTGTGGAATAAGAATTGACTGGGTGCAGGAACAGTGCTGGTATTCTATTGGTTTGGCCCGATTTGGACAAACTGGTAGTAAAAAATGTTACCATTCAGCCAAACTGGTAATAAAAAAACCAGCTACCAGTTTGGTCGAACCAGTATTTCTTTTGTTTCCTTCTGACAATCAGCTGTTCCCATCCACTCTCTGTCTTACTGCTTTGCCCAGGAGGCTTCCTTGAGGTCCAGTAGGCCAAAAACAGACTGCGGTGGGGTGTGTGTGTGTGTGCAGCACTCCATTTTTTTGACTTCCTGAGCAAAAATGGCCTCCCAGGAGGCTTTCCTGAGGCCCAAGAGGCTAAAAAACAGAGCGTGTGTGTGTGTGTGTGTGTGTGCAAAAAAAGCCATGCCCACCCAATCACATGGCCATGCCCACCTAACCACGCCCACAGAACCGGTAGTAAAAATATTTTCATCCCACCCCTGTGCAGGAACCAACGCCGTCTGTGGTCCTGGTGTGCTGCTTGCTTGCATGTGCCAACCTTACTGTTTGAAGGCTGAACGAAACCTTCAACTGAGTGAGGAAGCACTGCAGGGCCAGGCCCTTCACACCTGCATCAGCCCACTGTAGTTCACTGCACCAGAGCAGGAATGAGACCCTGTCCTGCAGAACTCACTGCTGCTTGGGTAGGGAGCATGACAACAACAAGGAGAAGAATGGCGAGGCTTTGCACCAGCTGGCAGGGAGCAGGTCAGGCAGTGCTGGCTGGCTGGAGAGGGAACATCATGGCTGTTTAGGTGGCTGCCGCCGCCAGCAGCTTTAATGCCTGACTGAAGCTGGGATAGATAGATAGATAGATAGATAGATAGATAGATAGATAGATAGATAGATAGATAGATAGATAGATAGATAGA